AGGTCCCTGGAGAAGCCTGAGATATCTGTTAATGACTAACAGAAGGCTTTGTTAATTGTTTTCCAGTTAACTGATTCCAGGAGCTTCTGAAAGAAATTTTATTGTATCCGTTGAGACTTCAGCCATCACCACTGCTGAGGAAAGTGGCAAGCAGAAAAAAAACAACGGGAATTGGCTCCCAGATAATAGATAATGAAATTGTACAACAAGTACCTTTGTGCTTTTACACCTTTGTGTCAGTATTATAGATCAGTAGTTGTATTTGATAATACGTGCATGCCTAATTTTCTGTGGACTGATTTAAAGAATTGATAAAAACAAACGTGTTCTTATTGCTGTGCTGGAACTCATTATATCAGCTTCTACACCTGTATTGTGGAATGTTTATACATGCAGAAAAAGCTGAAAATCATTTGTTGTTGGTGGGAGTGTGTTAGTGAGGGAGACGTTCAAAAAGAGGGGTCCATGTTTCAGACAAAAATGAAGAAGAGAATTAAGAGAATGGAACAAGTAAATGGAACAGAAAGCAAGTTTGACAGGTTGGCCTGAATCTGAGAAAACACCAGAGGAAGAATTGAAACATAGCATGGGCCTTTTTTTTTTTTTTTGACTCTTGAGTTACTTGAGTAACAATTTTGACACAAGAAAATAGGTTACAAAGCAGAGATAAGTAGAAGCCAACAATAAATGGTAAAAGAAATCCACCTTCCTTAGATTGTAGGTTTTCTACTTGAGAGGTTAAGAAAGGTGGCTGATCTTGCACTTTCTAACTCGTGTTTATCTGCATAGTACTCCATTTGCTTATGTAGATTAAAATTATTTTGCAGGAATTTCTTTTTAAAGAAATAATTCCTTTCTTAAGTATTTCCTATATAGTTGAATAGTGTGACTTTTTAATGCTGGGAAATACAAGCAAGAAGAGAAAAGAAGCTACATGTGTTACATGAAATTGTCATTTCTAGGGCAGTGGTTCAAATTAAGTTATAATACATTTTTATCAGTAATAATTATTTGAATGTTTTAAATAGCTTATTCTGTGGCACTTTACAGTAAATATTGTGATAAATTCATTTCTTTTGGCAGTCATTGTTAATTCAGCTGTACATTAATTCGATTAGGTATTAATTAGGTTTTAATGAGGGCAGTGTGATATGCATGGTGATTCCCCAAACATGAACAGACTCCACATCTTTGGGTAGAGCTGTGTGTAAGCACCTGCCTTTGCATTTTTGGTGGCCTTTTTGACGGAAATCATCCGTGAGGCTGCTGTGTGGAGGCAGAGAATCCTTGGTACACATCAGTCATGTATCATAATCTGCCCTTTCTTTTCACGAGACCCCTGTCTTTTCAGCCCCTGTGGAAGTGGCGGAATCAGCAGTTGTCCCTGCCCCTTGTGTGTTTTTCTTTCCCTGTATTCTCTCTTGTGAGACCTGCACCTTTTCTTTGCACAGCGTAACTCCTGTAAAAGGTCTACAAAGCTGGAGCTAGACCAAAAGATTTTAGATTAAGATTTACAGACTTTTTTTTTTTTTGCAGCCTACTTCACACTGTTATGACACTTTTTTTTTCATTTTTATTTTTTACTTATGGCATTTAGCACTTAAGAGTTGATCATTGAATTTGCGATGAATGCCCATCCTAAAAGAAGGAGAAGGAGCTGCTAGTTTAATCTATGGAGTGTTAAATATCGCAGAACCAGCTCTGCCTGCAAGAGACTATTTTGTCTTCTTTACCCGTTTCTCATTTTTTCTCAGTTTTGCAGGAGGTTAGCCTCCAAAAACATGTAGCACAAGTGATTTGTCTGTATACATAAAGACTAAACTCTGTAAAGACCCTTATCTCCCCCTATGCAAGTTCCTCTAATGGTGATGGGGACACATGTCTTAAAGAGGGGATTCTGGACATGTCTCTAGTGAAAATGCTCTCCATTAACAAACTGGCATCATCTCTATTTTTTTTTTCTCTGCCAACTGTACAGGAACCAAAATAGGGACTGAAAACACAGTGCACACTAGGCAGAGTTAAGTAGCATACGTTGCCCTTTGATCTGAATAATTTATATGCAAAATATAAAAATCAGAATCCATACTGACTGCAAAAGCCAATATGGTTAAGTGGAACAAGTGTCAAAATCAAAGGAAAAGGGACGTTTTTAAGATAAAATATGTGTGGTTCAGTGATGAATTGAAATTAAGAGAAAAATGGAGGAAATAAGTAATTAAGAACAGAAAACAACTATATAATTTATACTATATACTAATAATAAATTTCCTGGTTCTGTCTGGGGCTGAAGTAATGAAATACATAGGGAAATTATTTATCGTCTGTTGCCACGAGTAATTACCAATTGCCTATGCATTTGGACAGAAAAATATAGTTATTAAAATATTATTAAAGTTTTTTTTTAATATTATATAGCTGTATTTTTGAAGGGATAGCACTTCATGTTTCACAGTTGAACATCTAATAAGTTTACAAGAAATTTTTCACAGAAAAAAAATTATTTTGTGCCCATTGCAATGTCCCTAAAACTTTTCTCTGAACATCTATCACTTAGAGTATGAGAAAGGAGCAAAGGACCAGGTAGAGCCCAGTTCTGGTCTGGCAGCTCCTGCGTCAGAGTAGGGGGTGAGCGTGGGCAGATGATCTCTAACTCCCAGCTCCTTTTTCTTCCTTCTGTGCATCTGTTTTTCTACTACATTGTTGAGCTGCAGAATCCTTCACAAATTTTTATGGGATAATGGAAATATGGAAGTGGGCAGTGCTTGCATAGGAGATGGATTTTCAGCGGAGCAAATTTTTGGACCCACATAGTTCATATCCTTAAGGTCTTGGTCTGAAAAATGTGATTTCAACTCCTTTCCATTTGGTTACTGCTGGAGACTCAGACAGAAAGCACTGCACTGAGAAATCAGTTTCTTATTTTGTTCTTCTTTCCTGTAAATGTCAGCCTGGTTGTAGCAGCAACACTTGAATCTTGGTACTTTCACTCTTTTCTGCCATTTGACTTAAATTAACAAGGGCCATGGATATGTAGGGGGTATCTTTAGGTGTGTGTATTTGTTCAGATAGGAAAGAAGATATGCAAAAATGTAAGGTGGTCATTTTTTCCTATTTTCTTGATAACTTATGGCTTACATTATGCCATAAAAATTAAACTTGAGAGATTTATGGTATGATTGTATCCAGTCTGAATTCATGATTAAAAGTCCTATTTGTTCCAATGGGGCAAGACAAAGCTTGTAGGTAATGTAATTTCAAAATCTAATAAAAGAAACATTAGACACAAGACAAATATTCTTTTTTTTTGTGCTTAGCTGTATTTCAAAGATGTATTGGTCAGAAAGATCTTATGTTTCATAGTCATCTCAAATCTCCTGTGAACAAACAGGAACATGGTGTAATTAGAGCAGTGTGCGCTGCTTTAAATCCAGGTCAGCATAGTGTGTCACGTCAGCAGACTTCTAGCAGGTTCTTTGCAAATTCGGTATTTATAATTATATTCTAATTACTACAGAGGTGCAGACATCAAAGAAAGTGCATTTTCACATCTGTATTTGTACTATTGTGGTTTGGTACCCAGTGGAGCCTGAATTAAAATTTTGGAATATGTTTAGTAATTAGGGGAAGCTTAATTCTGGTCTCTAGTGCAGTGGTTGAAAGGCAGATCCATCCCTGGAAATGTTTTCTGTCTTTCATACGTGCATGTTTTCAGAAACCTGCACTTAAAAACTCTAAACACTTAATAAGCAGCTTCCCTATCTGCCTTCCTTAGAACAGTCAACCCCCTGTCAGACAGTCAGTCCTTCTGACTGATGTAGCGAAATGTGGAGCATATTCAAAGGGTCAGCATATAATAAATACATATATAATAAATTGGGACATAAGGAAATTTAATATTTAGTGCTCCCTCTTCTGGTTCGCTTTGATAAATATGAGGGCAATGCAAACACTATTTGCTGAAGCTGATGTAAAGAAAATGGGATTTGGCGCCTCCAAGTGGGACTCAGGAGAGGTGCCTGTAAATAATTAGGTGCTTATAAATAATTAGGTAAGTTACACTAACTTAAATGTAGTTTATTTAAGGAAAAGCATTTTAAATAAGCATTTAGTCAGCTACTCTTTAAGGAAGGGCAAATGGAGGGTATGTAATAGTATGTTACATTTGGAAAGTCAAAGAAACATGGCTTTTCATTATAGGCTTTGTTTTCCTACTATTGCATATATTAATTTTTCTCTTCTCATTTTCTCTTTTTATTTTCTCTATACTTATAAAAGATCAGTGAGGTCATCTTACTAATGGGCTGTGACATCACTGCCCTTCAAGATTAGATTGCTGACCATTTTCTAGCACCTTTACAGCTATATATATATATTTCTATAGAATTGACTGCTGTTGAAGAGGCCATTCAAAAATCTTTTTTATACGGTTTGCTAAAACCCTTAAGTGCATACTGAAAAAATAATCACGTACTATTTTAATTTTTTTTCTTACTGAATGCAGGAGGTGAAAGTGACATAGTAATGAGAAGTCAGAAGGGGGAGAAGCGGATCAATATATTGCTAAATTCTTATTGAAATTCTAATGCTTTGATGTTCTGGGCAGTTTTATTTCTGTTTAACATTTGCTGAGTAAAAGTCATTGCCCTAGAGATGCAAGATTTATTGACACAGAGAGATGAAAATGATTAGCTAAAAGGTTTCTGCACAAAGAGAATCAAAATCAGCTGAAACACTACAGGGTGGCTCATATACAGGAGGCTGAGCTATTTCAAACAAGTTATTAATTTTCAAAGCTGGAAGCTTAGCATGTTGGTATTATACCAATTTTTTATCGTTTCCTTCCTTTATAGAAACATTAAATTCTCTGAAAGGTTTTTATTTACGGATATATAGACATATACACCCACCCACTTTGTTTGTAGCATTCATAAAAGCATTATTATCTTTTCCTAATTCGTCTTCTAATTGAAAATAAATATATTTTTATTTATTTGCAGATGCCAGCTTTTCAAGAGTTGTCTTTATGGGATGGTCTTGCAGTCCTGGTGCAGGTAAAGTTCCATAGCAGTATATTCTAATCATGCTCACATATACTCATTTTCCATTTCATCTCACTTGCCACAAGATATCTGTATTGATACATTGTATTTAGCTTTTCAAAAACATCTGAAATATGTTGACATGCTTTGGCTTGCAGTTCATATGAACCTGAGAGAAGTACTAGACAGAGCAGCTGCTTTTGGCCTGCTGCTAGAAAAAGGTGGTGTCGGCTTCGTTTGACTTTGTTCACACAGAGTAGAGCTGAGCCTGGGAAAGCTTAGTCATCAGCCATACCAAAGTGAAATACAGCATGTGTGGGTGTTATGAGAAGCCAAAAATAGGAGAAATTCACTCTCTAGACAGGTGAAATTCAAAAGAATTTATTAATCTTACTATTGCTGCTTACAATTTCCAACAGTACCGCTACACTTTTACTGATAAACTGCAGCAGGCTCCATCTTCATTCCCTTCATCTGTCACCCTTAGATTATTGTATAATAATGTGTGGAAACTCCAGCAGAACACACAGGGCACTGTTCCTGCCCCAGCACATGGAGAAAGATGCTCTGAGTGGCCTCCTCTTGTCACAGAGGCTGCAAAAAGCACCAAGGGAACTTGAGGCTGTTTTAATGTTGAGTAGAATCCTGATCGTTCTCAGAATCAGAACTAGGTTTTAGGTCTTCAGTTTGTCTTGGCCGCAGGATAGGGCTTCATGCATCTTGCTACTTCTTAAATGGGGAATGTTCTAAGCAAAAACGACTAAATCAAAAAGATTAAATGCAACTTGCAGTTCGGAGGAAATAAGATGAGAGATTACTGAACAGCAGCCAAAGCTGGAAGTATTTAATAATTATGTATATTGTTGCAGGAAATGTTCTATGAAATTTTATTCTAGGTTTCATGCAGGTTTTAAAGCTCTGAGCAGGTTTTATTTTCAAATAGAAATGATTAAATATAATTTCTCAGTACTTTTACATGATTAATGTAACAGGCTGATCTTTCTTTGAGTACATCATAAATACTATCCACATTGGTGTGCTATATATGGAGAGTTTTATTGCTGCAGCACTTTATGAAATTATTCTTTGGGAAATTATAGAGAGTCAATGAATAATTCAAGGGAAAGAATAAAGCAAAATCTAATAAACTCTGCGTAAGATTGCACTTTGACATTATTACAGTAATGTGTATATACAAAACTCCCTGTTATTCTGGAAAAAGGATTCAAATAGAGCTTGATTTTTTTGAAAGAAGAGATCTTTTCACACTTAACTTTTCTGATAAGAAAAGTGACATGTACTAATTGGTCAACTGGACACAAATGGTACTTATATTTGTTTCCAGAGAAGTAAAGGATACATATTTGAGCAACTATTAGCTGTATTCTCATTTTCCTGGAAAAACTGTAACCACATTTTGGGGATTAGCTCCTTGTTTGTTGCAGAACTCTAAAATTTTTATTTTTAGAGTATTTTCATGACTAATCCTAATTTCACAAATATGGAAATTTGTACGTGCTTGAGAAATGACTAGCACTAAATGTTATTGTTTCTTCTGTTCAGTCTGGGAATGTGCATGCTAATTTATTTCTTTTAACTTGTGGATTAATGTTTATTTCAGTAAACTGAGGGAATTGTTACGGTTATTACTAAAGGACCTAGTATATCATAGAATGAAATGCAGTGAAATAGGAGGGAGAACCTAGTTTGGTGTTGAGGCTAGGCTTCTAGATAAACATTATTTCATAAATCAGGCTTCAACTTCTTCTGGTCATAATAAATTATTGTACTGCAAATTTGTGTGATGGCAAAGTGATTAGGATCACTGCTATTAGTTTAATCACAGTCACCTTATATATTACTGAAATATGCTAAATTCCAATAAGTTTAACATGAGTCTACCTTATTTTTAAGGAGTAAAAGGAATTTAAGTACTGAGAAAAGACTTAATTAGGTGTCTCTCTCAAAATGTTTACAAGGGCTCTTCAGATGGTGATGGGTTATGAGAGGTGTTAGCTCTAATGAGCTGTGGTGGGTCAGATAAAGTAGAATTACTGTGATCTGCTGAAGATCCAGGTATAAAAGCGCAACTATTTTTTATTCCACTTAGTTTTGCTTGCAAGGATTTTTACCTTGATAAACTGTATATGTACTTTGTGTTATGAAAATTGCTTCTTTAGTCATGATATAAAGGAGTTACAGCTTTTTTTCTCTGAAGAATACTTGTTTTTATGTGACTTCCTTTGGTACTTGCAACATCTACAACACACAGTGGGATCAGTTATCAAAAAGGTGACTTTCTTGTGTAAGATAAAGGCTGAAATGATGAGTTCCACATCTGTTAAATAGACTTAATTTCTGGTGACATTATAAACTGAAAAGGGCAACAAGCTCCTTTTTCATCACACACACTTCTCTCCAAGGCAGATTACAATTCAGAATGTGTTCAGAATTGAAGGTGAAATATCCTTTAGTTGCTGCTAAATGGTTGGAAAGAATGCAAGTTACCTTGGAGGAGTGATGCTTGCTGACTTTTCAGGATACCTTTTGGCCCACTGTATTTTATGAAATCCTGCTGGATTCAGTTTTATACTGTTAAGGATGAGCTGGTAGAGCAGATACTTAGTACTGTTAATTTTCTTTGGTAACATGAGTTATATGTTATCTGACAAAAGTTATTCTCATGTTCCGTTATGTGACTCCACTTCGTAGCTGAACTATGTGAACGTGAAAAACATGTTTTAATCTTAATTTAGTATTGAAGGACATGGTCAAATTCCAAATCTTGTATCTCCTTCTTGTGATGGAATGATTGCTCATACAAAGCTTGAAGGAATTGGTGACAAGTCATAACTGACTTATTAAATTTTGTACATCTGTGTCCAAAGCAGAAGAAAAATTTGCAGAATCAAATTTGAAATACAGTCTTTTTCTAAGTGTGCTGTTCAGAGAAATATCTGCAAGTTTGATAAATTCTGTAATAAGCTCTTTTAAACAGGACTTCCCGTGCTTTATAGTTTTGTGCTATGGAAAATTTACCCATCTGTTTCCCAGATATTTTCCATAGAACATTTCCCTCCCATTTCCCTCTCTCTTCAAGGAAGTGATCCCAGTTTTACTCTTTCTACTTTTCTGATGCGTTTGTTACAGAGCACTTCTAATTCTTTTCTTCTTTTTATTGCTTCCAAGGATGAGACGTACTCCACCTTTGCAGCTAAAAGGAATTTGGAAGATAGTTTTTCTAGCTGGCTATTACAATACGATTTTTGAACTATAATCCAGATGCTCTTACTTAAAATATTTTGCCATGGACAGACATCCAAGTCTTTGGTTTAGTGTTATTTTCAAAGAGATCAAGATTGTTCAAAAGCTTTCTAGCAAAAAATATAGTTATGGAATAGGCTTAGGCCGCTTGTTTATTTTGTGGTTTATATAATCTGCATCTACTCTTGTACATTTTCAGAGAGGCTCTTTCACTTTCAAAGAGAAACTGCTTGCTCTTCATATGAGCCAGATCTACGCTCTGACCCAGTGGAAGTTCTCAAGGTAGCACGTACGGAAAAAGCGTCGCATCTTCATTGCATTCACCTCAGTTGTCACCGTTTTTCTGAACCGGGGGAAACACGGGGCAGGAGAACGTGGTCATAAAGGCACCATGCAGTTATCTTTCCAGAAATACGTAGTTGAGAAGTGTAACAAGAATTTGCTGAAAAAATATTCTTTTTAATACACCTCTACTAAATAAATATATATGCCAAAATCCAGGCCAAGAAAAGGACAGAAAGAAGAGCTCTACTTACAACAGAGATTAATATTTTCCAGCATTGTTATTTGGTAGTTTCTCCCAGTTCCTCCCAGCGATTTCTTCTGGGTTGTAACATAGCTCCACATCCTTACAGTTCCTTTCCTAAGTATCATATTTGATTAGCATTCAGTGAAGTACAGTTTGTTCTTGACATTTGTAGCTAAGGGCTCAGTCATGGGCCTGATTAGAGCTCCCTTCTATTGCTCTGGTATAAAAAACTCTTCAAGATGCCTTGTAGATTGCAGCAATCACTTGCCAACATTTTGACAACAAGCATTCAACAAAATTGTAATAAAACTTTCAGCAATGCGGTGAGGTCTTTGTGCCTTTTGGGAGTAGAAATCTAGTAAAGAGGAAAATGGGGAAATCTGAGGAGTTAAATCCTCAACTTGGTTTTATTTCGATCATAGATTTTTCTTTTTTTTCTTTTTCTTTCTTAACTCAGTGTATTAGTTCTGCCTTTTCACCTTTAAGGCTTGTACCTTAAAGATTTTAATTAAAACTTCCCAGAATGGAAGGGAAATCATAAGAATGAATTTTTAATGAAATGCTTATTTTTATGAAATATTTATACCTCTTCATTCTCGTGTACATTTTTCTTTGTCATTTTGGGACAGCAGGTGCTTGAAGGGCTCTTGTTTTGTATTTTCAATGAAAGTTTGATGTTATTTGATGTAAATACCATCCGACAAGCTGCGGGTTTAGCTGGGTCATAGTAAAGGTAGTCCCCCAGAGGACAGTGGCTCTGAGAACTGCTGTCACATTGGTTTCCCATGCAGCCCGTCACTTAATAGCAGGGTGGGATCACTTCTGTTAATAGAATGAGCTTTCCATTGGAAAAACACTATATGTGCACCATGATCATTAGTTTTAGGACAGAAAAAAGAGCAACGCAGTGACCTAGCTTGTGCATTATCACCACCAGTTTTCCAAAAAACAGCCATCTTCGCAGCAGTTTTAATGCTCAATTCTAATGATTCTGTTCCAACACAGCACACTGAAGAGCAGAAACCCATGTCCAGCTCCTCAGGTATTGTTTTTAAGAGTCTGCAGAGGTAATTTCTGAGAGTCTCTCTTCTCTGATTTATGACCGGGACAAAAGTAAAGGTGGAGCATGCACTTTCTTCCTTGAGAGCATTGGGTTCTTTTTAATTTAGAAGAAAGTGTAGATGTCTGGGTTCTTAACCAGTCCTCACTTTGGCAAATA